AGTAATATGGAGGTACTTCAAAAAGTTTATGGATAATAGGATTAAAAGGAAAGCTTGGGGGTGGTGCTGTAGTGCAGAAGGTTAAGCAGCTGCCTGAGATGCCAGCATCCTATATGCATACTGGTTTGAATTCTGGATTCTCCACTTGAAGTCTACCTTCCAGCAAATGCACTTTGTTTGTTTGTTTTTTTACAGACAGAGTTAGTGAGAGAGAGACAGAGAGAAAGGTCTTCCTTCCGTTAGTTCACCCCCCAAATGGCCACTACAGCTGGCACGCTGCACCAATCCGAAGCCAGGAGCCAGGTGCTTCCTCCTGGTCTCCCATGGGGTGCAGGGCCCAAGCACTTGGGCCATCCTTCACTGCCTTCCCGGCCACAGCAGAGAGCTGGAAGAGGAGCAACCATGACAGAATCCAGCGCCCTAACCAGGACTAGAACCTGGGGTGCCGGCGCCGCAGGCAGAGGATTAGCCAAGTGAGCCGCAGTGACAGCCCAGCTAATGCACTTGGGAAGGTAGCAGAAGATGGCTCAAATACTTGGACCCCTGTCACCCACATGGGAGACCCGGTTGGGGTTCTAGATCCTGACTTTGGTTTGGCCAGCCCCAATGACACTTGTGGTCATTAGGGGAGTGAACCAACAGATCTCTGTCTATTTCTCATTCTCTCTTTGTCATTCTGCCTTTCAAATAATAATAATAATAAAAAAGAGTAAGCTTATTTTGGTGCAAACATTTTTAAGCCGTGCATAGTTTTCATAATACACATTTTCCACTAATGTTTTGAAGATGCTTCATATTCTTCACAGCTTTATTAGAGCTGTTTCATCAAGTTACTTTTTTTTTCATCCCAGAGCTTTCTATCCCATACCTTCTGTGGCAGTCTTAGAGCTATCCTGTCCAAGTTTACCTGTTGTGACAACTGGAATCGACTGAAAGTTTTCACCTTCACACTTCTGGGTACATCTCATCTGACACCTGATTACACTCCCCCCAGGTGTTTCCAACTGAGTACTGCACTTGGAAGAGACTCTCAAGTCAGGCTGTTGCTGGCCAACCAGGCTTCTTTGACGGATGCTGCTCCGGAGCTCCCTATTAACCTGTTTTGCAATGTCTCAGAGCTACACTGCAGTTCAAAACTCATTGTACCCAATCTTGCCTCCTTTCCTGCCTGCTTTGCAGCTGCTGCACAGAGCAGCACTGAGCTCTGAAGGCTGTCTGTCCACTCATGCTTCTTGTCCTCTGCTGGCCACAGTGACCTCCTCCCACCTCTTGCACATCTATTTTGTTTTGGTATCTTAGATGACTGCAACTGAGAAAAAGGAACTCCTTTCAAGACCTTGAAGAGGTTTCTATCCGTTCCTAATTTACTAACAGTTTTGTAAGTCCTGAGAGAAGAGAGAGTAAAGGGATCAACAAGAGAAATGGTTGGTTTCAACAGGGGAAGGAGGAAAAGATAAACAGGTACACATTCAAGTATAGTTGATGGTATAGAGGAAGGATTTCTGACAAATAGAAAACAGAGGTAGGAAAGAGTCAAGAAGATAACCCATGCTTGCAAGTGTGAGGCTGGTGCAACATTTAGGGAGGAGAGAAACTTTCAGATTGGCTAAAAATCCAGAAATGTTGGTTACTGCACTAGATGAACTGTAGTTCTATGGTTATTAGACTGGACTTTCAACACAAAAGAAAGACATCACGGGAGAGAGACTACAATATTTAGGGTTCATCCCAGAATTCACCCAGAGAGGGAGGAAGAGTACACAAGGTGAGTGGAGAGTACAGAGAAGAGTAAATTCCTACAATACCCTGACTGAACACTGCTCATTCCATCAGAAGTGAGACACCTGAAATGTTAGTTCAACTGTATATCTGAGTTGATGTTATATTTAACGTATTCAATATTTTTCTAGACAGTTGCGGATAAACTCAACCAGAATCAAGTCACGGAAAATTCAAGGGCAATTCTTTGTTAAAATAACAGGGCTTTTAAAGAAAGGATCACATGTCAAGTACCATTCCATCAAGAAGAGGTCCAACCCCTACCTTGTGTGCCCAGGGGATGTTTTGTGTGATTGTGTGACTGTTGTTTACAATCCCCTGGATGCGGAGTCACAGTGTCCATATGGCTGGAGGCTAACAGGTTGTAGAGCAATTTGTGGTTTTCTCACAACAACCCTCATCATCTTCTACATTCTGTAGTAGCTCGTGTATGTTAAAGGGGTATAGGGGCCAGTGCTGTGGTGTAGCAGGCTAAGCCACCGTCTGTAGCACCGATATCTTTTTTTTTTTTTTTTAAGATTTATTTTGTTTATTTGAAAGACAGAGTTACAGAGAGAGGTAGAGATAAAGAGAAGTTTTCCATCTGCTGGTTCACTCCCCGGATGGCTATAAAGCCAGTGCTGTACCGATCTGAAGCCAGGAGCCAGCAGCTTCTTCCGGGTCTCCCATGCAGGTACAGGGGCCCAAGGACTTGGGCCATCTTCTACTGCTTTCCCAGGCCATAGCAGAGAGCTGGATTGGAAGAGGAGCAGGCAGGACTAGAACCGGTGTCCATATGGGATGCTGGCACTTCAGGCCAGGGTTTTAATCTGCTGTGCCACAGCGCCGGCCCCAGCACCGGTATCTTATATGGGTACCAGTTCAAGTCCCAGCTTCTCTACTTCCAATCCAGTTTCCTGCTAATGCACCTGGGAAAGCAGAAGAAACATGGCGCCAAATGCTTGGGCCCCTGCACCCACGTGGGAGACCCAGATGAATTTCCTGGTCCTGGCTTTATGACTCAGAGCTGGCCCAGCCCTATATTGCAGCCATTTGGATGAGTGAACCAGCTGATGAAAGACCTCTCCCTCTCCTTCTCTCTCTCTAACTCTGACTTTCAAAAAAATAAGTTAATAAATAGATCTTAAAAAAAAGGTAAAGGGGCATTATTGCACCCTTGGGTTCACACCAGACCCTGGTTTTCCAGTATCTCAGGACAATCTTATTTCCCTTGAACTTGGAGTCAGTGAAGAAGCTCATGCTGCCCCTAGGGGCATGAGCACATTTGGAGTTGGAAGCTTATCCCAGCTTCTGACTGTATGATCTGTGATGGGCAAGCTGGAACAGCTGGGGTAATTGTGGATACAAATCGGAAGCCTTGCAACACCCAGGCTGGGGCTGAAAGAAATCATGCCTTTAGATGAAGTGATTGAGCCACAGACACAAATCAAATACCTGTGCTATTTCACAGCCTTCAACTCTTGGGAGTCAATCAATCCCCTTCATTGCTTAAACCATTTCAGTTCAGCTTTTCTATCACTTGTACCTGAGTGTCCCAACTGATCTAAGTCACAGTGAAAGAATTCTGGTTCTGCGGTTAGAAATTCTGAGATCTGGATTCTGCTGTGACCCTGCTTATACTATAACCTTAGGCGAGTCATTTAATTACTTTGATGCGGAATATATTTATCAATTAAATGGACATGGCAATATCATGTTCAACGTCCTTTGTACAGATTACATGGAAAACACATATATAATGCCACACTCGGAGTAGATAACCAATGACTGTGGATTCATGTCTGTGATATCATATGGTCTTTACATTTAAAGTGAAATTAACCAATTTCTAATTTGATGTAATAAATAAGTAAACGTCTTTCTTTAAATCTCCTGAATGTGACACAGCCATGCAGGTTATTTAGTACCTAGATTTCCCCCTCCAGCGAAAGCAGACTGAGTCACTGCATTTTACAAAATCGGTGCCATTGATCACCTGGTTTAAGTGATACCCTGTAAGAAGCTTCCTTATGGTGGATCCTGAACCTGTAAATCTTAATGTCCTTGCTGCACCAGGAAGATTTCACATTCTCTCTGGATGCTCAATATGTCTTTTCTCTATTCTCAGGCACTGGCAATTGATCAGAAAATACCATTAATGTAACAAATAGGTGGTTGTCTGAACACTATTTCCTGCCTACTGGAATCACTCATGGCTGTGTAATTCTGGACCGGAAGGTGAGAATTTCATCTGCTGTACCTGTCATCTTAGGGCCTTTACCAGAGCTTGGTGGTCTTCCTTTTATAGATGAGAGAGTAGCATGCGAATGGAATCACAGGGCACAAGACAGAGGAACTCTGAGTGCTGACAAAGGAAAATGAAGCTTGACTCTGGATGATAATGAAGCCAGAGAAGGAATTAAGGCAGAAGGGTAAAGTGGAAAGGGTGCCCCTCTACTGCTTTCCATGCCATGTGGTCCCAGCCTGCAGACACCCAGGGCTGTTAGAGTCACTCAACAAGCAAATTTTTTTTGGATACCTGCTCTGTAGTGGCTGGGACACTGCTCTCTGGTCATTGACGGATAAGACAGACTCTCTGATCTTGGGATGTTGCAGTCCAAATGGGGAGATAGGCAAACAAGTCACTGTTGTAGTGTAATTTAGAATCTCATCAAGCCTCCCCTGATGCACCATGCAGGGTGTGGGTATCTATCTTTTACTCTTAATCTTATTTTGGTTCTGAGTTTTTTTTTTTAAACATTCCTCTCAGATTACTCTAATGTTAGAAATAGGGAAGCAAAGGATCTAACTCCTATTAACCACCTACTAAGTCCCAATTTGCTAGTTAGGAAATAAGGAAACTTGAGAAGCCATAAGAGAAATAATTTAGAGGGGAATGGAACTGCTCCCAGAAACTCTGAAACACTGAGGCTGGGCAGCTGGAAGCTCATGAGGTCTTTCTTGTCTCCAGAACTGAGTGCCACGTGCACAGTGGACAGGCAGGATACTGTGGTAGGAGGACCAGTGCTTCCCACAGGGAAGCATGATCGTTTAAAACATGTGGTCACCCTAGGAGCACGCCTCATCATGAGTTTTGGGTAAACTGACATTGAGAAGCTGCTTCTAGTGCATATGCATGTTTTACAGGATAATGATCTTGAAGGCTATTGAGTTTGAGTGTATTTTGTTAGGGTTGAGATCACTGGGGTCTAAAATAAAGCTTCTATCATCAGACCACTTACTGGTGTCCACTTCCGTCACCATGATTGGCTTGGAGAACTCAATTCGGAAGCCCCAAGGATAATCCCCGGTTCCTTTGAAGAGTTTCACAGTTCGCTCACGGACTAAAGAGAAAACAAGAGGGTGTTCCTTTGAGTTAATTGTCAGATATCATAAGGGTATTTTCAAGTATCTCATATTCATCATTGTTTACTACATGCCAGGTCTAATGAAAATGTTCTAACCACTATGTAAGTGCTTTCTAGTTTAATCTCCACAATACCTTACTGATATTTTTTACTTTTGGAGAGGAGGAACCTGAGGCAGCATGGGTAAACAACTTGCCTAAGCCCCATAGTGAGTAGGAGGCAGTGTGACTCCCACGTCCTTGTGCTTGACCTGTGTCACAGCTGCTCTGGAGGGCATCTGAGCCACACAGACCTGAGCCACCCAGATCTGTTAACGATGAAATAATTTTTAAGTAAGGTTATATAAGGGAATGAAAGAACAGACTCCTGAGCCATCCAGTTAGGTCTCACACGAACCCAAGAAAACCTGAACAACTGAGTTTCCCAGGGGGAAAAAAAAACCAGAAACATCTGGGCCTTGCAGAAATGGGAGCTATGGGGGTGTGCTGGGCTGAAGGTGCAGATGTGCAAGAAGCCGGCAGTAGGGATTTGTGGATTTTTGCACCCGTTTCAGGATCTTTAATTAGCCTGCTCAGCAATCTGTCTGCTTTCCACGCTTCTCCTCCCTTTTCCTCCTGTCCCCTTTACTGCCCACAACCTCCATATTCTCCTTTCTGTATGCACAAAGCATCTTCAAAAAGTTCATGGGAAATGTGCATTATGAAAAAACTATGCATGGCTTTAAATTGTTATGCACCAAAATCTTTTAATTCTGCTTTTTCATAAATTCTTTGAAGTCCCCTCATGTAAGTGTGGATGTGTGTGTTTGCATGCATGTGTATTCCTTCCACACACCTTCTGCTCACTGACAAATCTGGCTTATCCCTATATTTGGAGCCGTCCCAGGCCTTCTTGACTTTTCTCTACCCCAAGACAGTTGAACTTCTGTGTCCACCACAGAGTGCATTTTTTCAGTTTAAATTTCTGAAGGCATGAAGCTCATAGCCCAAAGTCATCTCTCTGCAGTACTGCTTGGGGCTATCACACTTCAGAGGTGAGGAAAGGGCAGGATTCCAAGTTAGAAACCATGTTTCAGTAAGACTTCCTTTGGTGGAAAGATGATATCCACGAAGGGAGAGGTGGCCATGGTAGGCATTCTATATTTATGGTATAATCATATTTCATTTTTTGATTCAGAAAAAAATATACATACCTGGATCATTAAACATCAAAATTGTTTAAGTGATCTCAGAGGAATAATTTTTGAGCCAATAAAAAAATTACAACAAAAGGTTTCAAAAGAATGTGAATTTGGTTTTATGCAAGGTCAAGTTCCCCAGAGGGAAGCAGGAACGCAATGCTGAATGACTATTATCCTAACAACTATACTAAGGAATAAATCATGATAAAGTATAAAGATGAACTTCCTGAGCTCTAGAAGTGATTGTTAATAATAGGACTATTCTTAGGTCTTTTGGAAAAAAGCTGTGTAATTAGTTATAAACTAAAAGTGTCATTCTATTGATAAGGGCGTGGAAAATCAATACCTTAGAAATTTAAATCTAATACAGTCCTCTTTCATTAAAGAAAACAGTAATTTGGAGCAAGTGTTTAGTCTAGCAGCTAAGGTAACCATGTTTTACATCTGACTGCCTGGGTTCAATTTCTGGCTCCAACTGCTGATTCCAGCTTCCTGTGAGTGCAGATCCTGGGGGAGTGGGGTGGGGGGGAGGCAGCAGTGATGAGTCAAGTAATTGGATTCCTGCCACTCATGATGGAGAACTGGATTTTGTTCCTGGCTCCCAGCTTCAACCCTGGCCATTGCCAGCATTTGGGGAGTGAATCAGTGGGTAGGAGCTCTCCTCTGTCTGCTTGCCTCTCTGTATATCTCTCTGCCTCTCAAATAGCAAAACAAAAAAAAATAAAGAAATATGTTAGAATTTATGGGTAGTATATTAATCTGTTGCTTCAAGGCCAAAACATTCCAGAGGCCAAAGAAACTCTTGGGAGTTTAAAGTGATGGACAGCAGTTGTATTGGGAATGGGAAGTGTCGCTCCCCCTCTTCGCGGAGGAACGACACAGGACCTTGAGCTATTCTTTTGTCTGCTCGGCCCTTCCCGGGTTTGCTGCTGGTTCTTCCCGGGTTGGCTACCGTCCCTTCCACCTCCGTGGAAGGGCGGTTCCCCCTGCCACTTTCCCCACTTCCGCGGGGGAGCAGCACACCGCCGGCCGGCCGGTGTCGCTCCCCCTCTTCGTGGAGGAATGACACAGGACCCTGCGCTGTTCTTTCGTCTGCTCGGCCCTCCCCGGGTTTGCTGCTGGTTCTTCCCAGGTTGGCTACCGTCCCTTCCACCTCCATGGAAGGGCAGTTCCCCCTGCCACATTCCCCACTTCCGCGGGGGAGCGGCACACCACCGGCCGGCTCTCTCGGGGGCTGCACAGGTGTTCCCCTTAGATGTTCCTCGTGCATGTTGTCTCTCTCCTCCTTTATAGTCCTCTTCCACCAATCCCAACTCTGCTACCCACACGCCGAGTACACTGCTCTCCTCCAATCAGGAGCAGGTCCCACAGTCTATTGGTTGAACTGGAGGCAGCTGTGTAGAAGCTGTTTCTCCCTTCTCAGCGCCATATTGTGGGAGAGCAGATGCATAGAATAAGTCTTAATTCCAGTAACTTAGTCTAGTCCGAGTTGCTCCCAGTTGCTCCCCACAGGCCGGCTCTCTCAGGGGCTGCTCAGATGTTCCTCAGGTGTTCCTGGTGCATGTTGTCTCGCTCCTCCTTTATAGTCCTCTTCCACCAATCCCAACTCTGCTACCCACATGCCGAGTACGCTGCTCTCCTCCAATCAGGAGCAGGATCAGCTCCTGCAGGTCATCACTCAAGTTGGCGAGAGGCAGCTGTGTAGAAGTTGTTACTCCCTTCTCAGCGCCATATTGTGGGAGAGCAGATGCATAGAATAAGTCTTAATTCCAGTAACTTAGTCTAGTCCGAGTTGCTCCCAGTTGCTCCCCACAGGAAGGACTTCAGTCCATTCTCCCACTTGATGAAGAATCTCTTCTTTGCCATCTCTGACAGGTACACTGGGTTGGTGAGTCCCTATGTGCTGCAGAATCACTGTTATTATAGATGTGTATTATACTTTTCAAGGTTTGCAAGAAGACTTGCCATCTATTTTATTAATTTCCTCTCAGATATGCTGAGGTAAGTCAATATATGTTTTTCTAAATTTTTATTTATTAGATGAGAGAGAGAGAGAGAGAGAGAGAGAGATATCTTCCATTCACTAATGTACTTTCCAAATGTCTGTAAGAATCCGTTGGCCAGGCCAAAGCAAAGAGCTTGGAACTCATCCATGAGTCTCCCACATGGATGGCAGGGACCCAAGAACTTGAGCCATCACCTGTTGTTTCCCAGAGAGCACATTAAGAGAAAGCTGGGGCTGGTACTCAAACCCATATGGGACATTCCAAGTCCAAGGTTAGGTCAAATGCCTGCCCTAGTCAATTATTTCTGAAATAAAGTTTTGTATGAGAAATGACACAGAGAGGAAAAGGTTGAGCAATCTGCCCAAGTGTGCTCAGCTGTGACCACCTCCCTGGGAACAAAAGCATTTGATGAAAACAAGGACGCTGTCTCTGTCTTTACAGATCCAATAGTCCAAGAGCAGAAGCCACTCACTCACAGACACTCACTGTGGCTCTACCATGTGCCCAGCTGTCTGCCTATAGACTAGAAATGGAGTGGGGAAGACAGACAAGGGTCTTGCTCTCTTGAAGTTCATGTGCTGGACATTAGCTGCCAAGGATCGGCAAACATTTAAGGAGAAAAAGGATGAAGTCTTTTCACGTGGATTCTGGTAACACTCTGTCTTTCCAGGCTCTCTGAAGAAAACACATCGTTTGCCTGCTGCTGACAAGGGTATCAGGAAAAGCACACCTAGGTTGCTGAAGAGGTATTCATGTATTCTAGCAGTAACATTTTGGGCTCTGTTCTATTCTACACTTCTGGGAACATCTCTGTTATTTGTTAATACAGTTCCCCTCTGGCAGTCATTTACATGACTGTTTGCACCACCACTTATTGAATCTCAGTGTCATTTAAGGCTCGGTGCTGGGAAATTCAAGGGCAAAGGAATGAATATTTTAGTGAGCTGCCTGCAACAGGCTGGTAGAGCTAATCAGAGCAAGGACCATCTAAAATCCTATTTTTGAGCTCTGTAAAAATCATTTCTACCATCCCCACTTGTCAAAACTTCCTGTTCCCTCTAGCTTACTCTTCACATTATCTTCTGCTTTTGACAGGTTGACTACCCAACAGATATATTTGTTTAATGGAGCATTTTACCAAGTTGATCCAAATCAAATCATGTTTGTTGCTTTGTTTTCATTTTGCATGAGACTGTTACAATAGCTGATAGCTATTGCTTTCAAAGCTAGGTTTGGGTTTTTGTTGTTGTTGTTTTGTTTTTCAATCAGGCAAATTGAATGTCAACAGTGTGCCATTCAATGAAGTCTTTAAATGGTGAGCTCAACTTGTAGGCCTTTCCTATGGGAGAGAAGACAATCAAAATGTTTTGCAACATGTTCCCCTCCCGTTCTGAAGACAATTTTCTCACACTTTAAGATTTATAGTCCTGGTTTCCCTTGCCACTGTCTAGAGGATAATCTATGAGTGCCACACAGCTGCTGAAAAGCCACAAATGACTGTCATAGTCTTTTCAGAGACCATGTGGGCACATCTTCAAGTAATTTATTACCCTTGATACCACTGCCTCAGAATCATCCTGTTAGGTGTAAAAATTCAAATGAAGGGCAAATATCTCCATAAATGTAACACAACACATATACTGAAAACATCCTACAATTTTTAGTGCAAATTTCAGCAGTATGTTTCTTTAGTCATACAAACCTTTGTTTACTTGTTTCTCTAAAGCAGAGCTCTTTTGGAAGAATAAGGAGTGGATTTTTTTCAAATGTAAGATTTAAACTCAAAAAAATACTTGCTGGTGGATATAAATCAGCATTGCAATATATTTATGATGCTACTGGTTAATAAGTATATTTTTCAGTTTAAAAATTGTTCATTTGCCTCCAACTCAGTTTGTCTACCAATCTCTATCACCTTTCATTGGTCTTTTGGTATCATATAGTTAAGAACACATGCTGCTGGTACACACAACATTTCAAGTCTTAGTAAGAACAACAACCAGCAATTCTTGAACTGAGTTTCAGTGCAATAAAGTATCCCGAAGCTTACTTGCAACATTTACATATACTTGCATATATGAGGCATCTTTAAAAAGCTTGTGGGAAAATAGAATTAAAATATACATTTACTTTGATGCAAAAGATTTTTGAAATCCATGTATAGTTTTTCCATATTATGAATTTTCCACAAACTTTTTGAAGAGCCCTCCCTCATATATTTATATTCATTAGTCTGACAAAATTCTCATTGAAATTATGGAGAATAAGGATGGGAGATAGAAATAGCCAAGGTGGCTAGAAATGGCTCACTCTTTTCATATACATAATTTCATTTATTTTTAAATAATATCATAAGAGAAATCGTGTACTGATTTTTGTAAGGTTACATAGTTGGTAAGTTACTGAATGTTATTGAAATAAGGTGTTTTCATTCATTCATTCAAAAATATCATTGGCTTCCCGTAATGGCACAGGCACGTTCCTGGCCCTTGGAATACATCAACAACCAAACAGGCAGAGCTCTGACCCCGAGAGTCTTACTTCCAGCATGGTGGCCTTGGCTTGAGCCATCCTATTACTCAGATGAAAGCTAAATATGTAAACTTTCATTTATTTATTTTTAAGATTTTTATTTATTTATTTGAGAGGTAGAGTTACAGACAGTGAGAAAGAGAGAGAGAGAGAAAGGTCTTCCTTCCATTGGTTCACTCCCCGCATGACCACCAAGGTTGGAGCTACGCCGATCTGAAGCCAGGAGCCAGGTGCTTCCTCCTGGTCTCCCATGTGGGTGCAGGACCCAAGCACTTGGGCCATCCTCCACTGCCCTCCCAGGCCACAGCAGAGAGCTGGACTGGAAGAGGAGCAACTGGGACTAGAACCTGGCGCCCATATGGGATGCCGGTGCCACAGGTGGAGGATTAACCTAGAGAGCCACCACGCCAGCCCCTAAACTTTTATTTCTTAAAGCTACTATTAGATCTTTATCATCAGTCTTGTTGTTGTTGTTCTTACTTCTTTTATTTCATTTTTCTTTTTAAAATTTATTTTATTACTGTAAGAACACTTAACGTGTTCTTCTAATTTATTACCCCTGATACCACTGCCTCAGAATCATCTTGTTAGGTGTTCTTCTAGATTTTCCCTTCTAATGAATGTTTTGATATAATTCATTATTGTTGTCCATAGGTACATATTATTGTGCATGGGTACAACGTCCATTGGTAATGTTGTCCGTAGGTACATGGTGGATCTCCAGCTGAACTGAAACTTTATGCCTCATCATCTAGCTTGATTTTCACAATCCACTCTGTATACTTTAAGATTCATATTCAGAGTTCCATGCTTACTTTTCAATGAATGGTTAAGTGCAATTCAGTCATATTATATGAATATAAATAAATATTCTATATATGCAAAATATAATCTTTGTATTTTCTTATGCTTGTGTATGAGAACTCACTTAGATTTAAAACTTTCCTTCCATAAACTCCCCACTGTTGAATTTCATATTTTTAAGGAAAAATTAAGCAGGTGCAGGTATCTGGCATAGCAGTTAAGCAGTTGCTTGAGATGCCGTATCAGAAGGTCGGTCTGGGTTAGTAAAGTCCCTGCTGTGCTCCTCACTCTGGCTTCCTGCTAGTATACACCTTCAGAGGCAGCAGGTGGTATCTCAAGTATTTGGGTCTCTATTACCCCTGTGGAAGACCCAGATTTAATCTCCAGCTCCTGGCTTTGGCCTAGGATAGCCCTTTTCCTTGTGGACATTTAGGGAGTGACCCAGTGGGTGGGAGATACCTCGCTCTCTCTCTTTTAAATAAGTAAATAGAAAGAAAGAAAAACTAAGAAAAGCTCTATTTTACTCTGCAGATAAAATAATATCAGATAGAACAATGATTGCATCTTATCTGTTTAAATGAGGTTAAGATGAAGCTAAGCACGTTCTGAAACCAGTGCTGAGAGTACTACACGCTTCTTTGTAGTACCTGTCACAGCATCAAATCTGTCATTTCTCTCTCTGGGTATCTTAACAAGTCCCTGTAGTGCTTGGACTATAATAGGAATGCAGTTTTTTGAGCACATGATTGTATAATTAATTAGAACCATTGCTTCAATCTGAATTTTCGCTAACTCGAGTTAAATTATTTACTATCCATCAAGTTATTTATACCAATAAAATGGAAGTTCACAAAAGCTCCATGCCTTAAAATTTGCAGCAAATAGTGCATAGAAATAACAACTTCATATACCAAAGATTGAAATTCCATTATAAGTCATTTTAAAAAATCATAGAATATTATTTCATTGCAGAAATATAGTTATTAGTTTTTAGTTTATTAAAATTCACCTCATAAAAATTCATGGCACTATTAGAATATTAATGGAATCTACAAAAACACATGAAAATACTTGTATCATAAAGTGAAGGTACAATTATTCAATACTTATATTATTAAATGTAAAAGACTATAATATCATATATTCTAATGAATACACAATAATATCAAATATATATTCCATGTTTGTTTAGAAAGGACAACATAAAAACAATAAAATAATTATACTGTGAAGTTGGAATAATAAGTGGTAATTTTTTGAGTCTTTACATTTTGGTGTGTGTTTAAAAATTAATACGGGGTCAGCGCTGTGGCGCAGTAGGTTAATCCTCCGCCTGCAGTGCCGGCATCACATATGGGTGCCGGTTATAGTCCTGGCTGCTCCTCTTCCAATCTAGCTCTCTGCTGTGGTCTGGGAAAGCAGCAGAAGATGGTCCAAGTGCTTGGGCCCCTGCACCCACATGGGAGACCAAGAAGAAGCACCTGGCTCCTGGCTTCGGATCTGCGCAGCTCCAGCTGCTGCAGCCATTTGGGGAGTGAATCAATGGAAGGAAGACCTTTCTCTCTCACTGTCTGTAACTCTACCTCTCAAATAAATGAATAACATCTTAAAAAATTAATACATATTTTATAAGCAAATTCTAGATGTTGGCTATATTAATCTTTATTCCAACTGTGGAGTTACTACTCTATGTTTGAATGGGCTCTTAAGTACCTGCAGACCCTTCCACAATAGTAGAAAGTAGTCAGACACTGTATGCGCATATGTACTGTTCCATGTAAATACATACGTCTCTCTGCGAGAGCACACACGCTTCAGCTCCCCAGCCACTCCACCCAGAACTCAAGTGCTGACGTCAGAGACTTGCCTGGAGTCTGGGTACAGGTTCTCTATGATATATGTGTCTTACCATCATTGTGGAGTCCTTACCAGCTACTGGTCGGGGTTTTTTACTAAGGCATCTGGGGCTGTCCTCAGGATTCCCGTCATCCCCGCGGAAAACCCAGGCTGCCGAATGAAAATTCTCCGTGTAGAATCCCTTTTCCTCAATATCAAAGCGAAAACCAAGATCCACAGAACGGCCATCTTCTGAGGTGACTGAGGAGAAGAAAATGACACCGTAAAGGTGAGAGAGAAGTGAGATACGGACAGAGTGAAGTTCGTACCCAAAGCGTCATTCTCAAACACACAGCCCAGTTTGCTGGACGGTTCTCCGGGCGGAAGGTGCACAGTGCTAACGTTATCAGGAATCCAGACATTGTTGCCGCAGGGTCTGAGGTGAGGGAGTCTATGGAGCAGCTGTGGCATTTGTAGATCCTTTTGTCAAGGAAAACCATGGAAAAGGGTTGGCTTTTAAGTCCCATGTATTAGTGTTTACTGCTCAAGATGACTAGGGAGTTGTTTTAGAGTCCCTTTCAAAATTCCAGGTCCAAGAGAAAGGATTGCTAAGTACAGAAAGGGAAAAACATCACTGTTATGTCTTTGTGCTTGAAAGATGGCACTGGGAAGGCTTCTCAGGAAGTTCACCAGCCTTACATGATGAGTGTATAAGGAAGTATGTAAATTTCTGCCTCACTTTTGGATAATCTAGGTGTTTGGGAGTCTCTTGCCTAGTGGGGAGGCTGTGCCAGTTAAGGAAATAGGATCGCGTCTCTACATTGCCTTCCAGAGGTTTCTCTGTGGCCCTGTATAGGAGGCTGAAACACGAATAAAGTCATGTACCAAGCCTTTCAGTATTTCAAGGGAGAGAATCAAGAACCCAAGAAAAGCATAAACCACCTACCTGTGTGTCCCAAATGCCACGAAGAGAGTGGAGTTTGAAAACCACAACAATGCTCCTTAAACAACAACAACTATCCACTGGTTCTCCTCTTTGCCTGCCTCTTCTCTCATGCTCCAGTGGCTCCCATGTCTTTCTCCAAGTAAAACCTGCCCCTTCCTCACCCTGCCCTGTCTGGCAGTGGCCAGTTGCATTTCTGCTCCAGGTCAGCTACATAAAGCTAGGGGCAGGACAGTGCCTTCTGCTGTCACCGATTTTCTGTGGACCATCATTCCCATGGTTCTTGTTCCTACCCTTACATTTCCAACTTCGCTTTCCTAGTTCTAGACCAAAGAGTGTATTATTCATTGTCCCACCAAATAAACTCCGAAGATATTTTTTTCTTCTCAAATCCCAAATATCCTTAACACTGGTTCTTATATTTCAAAATTTCTCATACAGTTCATTGATAGTTTAAGCAGTTTCAGGTACATTCATTCATTCATTACTCATTCATTGAGTTGAATTGATTCAAAATTGTTCTCCTATGAGCATGGGGCAATTTTAGGCACAAGGAGGATAGAAAGTTGAGTTAGATACGGGACTCTGACGAGTTAGGGGAATTCAGAGGAAGCAGGACTAGTTCTGGTTGAAGGGAGGGGTGAGGTTAAGGGAAGAACATCATCAGATGGGATCTTGAGGAGTAGGTGGAACTTCCTGTGGTAGGCTGAACTGGAGGGAGGCAGATAAACAAGGTATGAACAAGTGGCCTTGGTAATGCAGCAGGGGCTGGAAAAATAAGCCATGCGGATTGAATAAACACATCGTGTGTGTGTGTGTGTGTGTGTGTGTGTGTGTGAAAATGAAGGGGGGATGACACTTGGTAATATTATGTGATGATAAAGTTGGGATGTAAATGATATAGGAATTTGAAAGGATAGGTTCTTGGAATAAGATTATGAACACTTCAGAACAGAATACTTTACCTCAGGATATTAATACCTTCTTGCACACATCACATCTAAGAATCCTTTAAGAATTTTTTGCTTTCATTTGTTGGAGGATGTTATTTGACTTTAAAGAGAAATGAAAGTGAACCAAAAAAATTATAATGATTTACCGACTTTCTTTCTGAGCTTTAACTACATCAGTTTATTTATTTATTTTTGCATAGTATTTGCTAAAGCTACAGAAGCCTGAAAGGATTAAAGAATCTTCCTTTGTTTATTTATTTTCCATATTTGTATCCCTAAAAATTCCATTACATATTTTTTTAAAGATTTTATTTCTTTATTTGAGAGGCAGAGCTACAGACAGTGAGAGGGAGAGACAGAGAGAGAGGTCTTTCTTCCGCTGGTTTACTCCCCAAATGGCAGCAATGGTCAGAGCTGAGTCGATCTGAAGCCAGGAGCCAGAAGCTTCTTCCAAGTTTCCCATGGCCAAAGCAGGGAGCTGGATTGGAAAAGGAGCAGCCGGGACTAGAACTGGCGCCCATAAGGGATGCCGGCGCCGCAGGAGGAGGATTAACCCCCTGCAACTATCTGGGGAGTGAACCAGCAGATGGAAGATCTCTCTTCCCCCCACCTCTGACTCTCTGTAACTCTGCCTTTTAAACAAATAAATAAATCTTTAAAAAAAAAAAAGATTATTCATCTGCCTCCTTGGTACCTTAAGCCAAACAGAAAACAAATCCAAAGCTGTCTTGGTCACAAAAACTTTGTCAACAAAATTCAATTTGTTAATGAGCTTTTTCATAAATGTACTTTAAAACACCAGGAGCTCAAATATTCTTGGTATTATTGACATAGAATTTGAACTCATTTGTCCTTGAAAAACTAAAATACTTCTTGTTTATTTTTATTTTTGACATCATCCCAAGTTCCAGGTGTCCTCAGATATTCTCATACCTCCTTCATTCTTCTGTATTATTTGAGTATAATTAAAAAAAAAAGTGTTATGTAATGAAAGGAGACCCGGTTTGGACTTTCCCAGATGAAGACTAAGGATTAGATTTGAATTATTAATTATAGGTGAGGGACCTTGGACAAAAGCCTAATTTTCTCCATGAAGTGAGGCTGAAAATATAGTACTTGACTCAGTGTTGGAGGGAGAATGAATAAGGTAATACATTATCAAACTCTTAGAAAAGTGCCTAGCACTCAGTAGCACATTGTATTTGTTCCCTGTTATTATTAGGAATCAGAGATCATTCTTCCTCTCTCACTCATTCCCTTCCTTCCTTCCCCCATGCAATCCAATATTTGGAAAATACATTTCCATAGTAATTTTCATACCTGAATGAAACATGGGAAATGCTATCAAATATCCTCATATGATTAGGCCCAAATTCTTGCCACATCCGCTTGTGATACAGAATCCATTCAGATGACAAAAATCAGAGTTCTGTTTTGCAGGCCCTTCCTGGAACTCCAGTTCATACCCTTCAAGTTATTTACCTGGTGTGCCTTAGTCAGCATTCCCCACAGCCTGGATGGACTGATCAACTGTGTCCACACACATAAATATGTCATTGCTAATGGCTTTCCCAGTTATGATGGAGGAAGTCAGAGATGAGTGAGATTAACAGGGTGAAAAACACCAGCTGCAAAGATGCTCAATAAAGCTGTCGGGTTTTAAGCCATGGATCAGTAGCACATCCTGACTCTATAAATGAGATAAAATTTAAAGCACGTATTAAACAAGGCTAGCCCCAGCAACCGTTAGTAAATTGCAGTCACTACTGAAAAATTCCTGAAGAAATACAGCGTGCCTTCCGTGCGTCTGGGGCTTGGATAAACTTAAACTAGAAATGGCAGACAGTTCAACCCTCTTGTGTCTGATGCGAAGCAAATTGTTAGGATAGCTTTTCATTCAAAACAGAACTCAACCAGAAGAAAAGCAATCACTGTTTTAATGAAAGCAATTGCACCATTTTGGCATGGCATTTGAATTTGTATGTCACACACCTGATTCCTGTGTTATTTCAAGTGAGGTAAATGTGTGAAGTCACTGGCAGTGTCTGCCAGTTTCCATGGTATAAACACTCCCACCATGGCCAATTTCAAGCTACCAATCTGCTGCACTGAACTGCCCTGTTAGAGAACTGTGTGCAGTCCGGTGGTGAGCTGCCGCAAGCTGCCTTAACACACGGATGACTTTCTTTTTCTCAAGAAAAGCAGAGCAGAGATAATGTCTGAGATCACTGATACTGAAAGATTCGTCTGCAAAACAATGAATGAGATACACTTCGCTTGAAAGAGTCTGAGTAGCTAAAGGACACCATGAACTTGAAGGAACTGGACCTTCTTTGCTAGAAGGAACTGAAAGCTTCAGGAACTGGCCCCATTCTCTCTGATGCATGGAGATGGTCTGTAGTTTATCAAACTAACCAAAGTTTCCAATCAATCTTAATTTCTTGGTTTAGGTCATTCACAAATTGATACAGGTAAATAGGGGAGCTACAAAATTTTAATATGTTTATATTTAAACATATAATTTTTTACTAGTACATATAAAATGCTACATTTGCTTTCTTATTTATAAGTAAATTGCTTATCAGCCAGATTCTTTAGTGTTAGTGTTTAAGATGGGTACAAGCTGATTACAGTCATGTTGGTTGATCACTAAATGCCCTGATAATTTTAGAGATGTGAGCTGCAGCTGAATTTCTCCACAGTGTGAAAGGGGAAATTGGAGGAAAAACTCAGAAAGAAGAGAATAGAAAACAATGGGTCTAGGTGTTTCACACACAAGAGGGAAGCAGTGCACAAGAAGGCCTCTTGGGGTAACTACAAGGTATTAGAGGAGCCTTAAAAGCAAAGGGGTTGGGGCCACAATCCTGAAAACTGAATTCATGAAAGCTCAGAATCCTTAAAGTTTAAAATTCCAAAATATACAAATCCCAGAACTAGGATTCTGGAACAATTTGAAAAATCTATCAAAGACAATTATTTAAATTACATAAAGGGGATTTATGTGAGAAACATATACTTACTTCATTGGCCATTTTATACAATGAGATAAGCAATGGCATATTTTTGCAAACACAAACAGGTTTGCTGATCACCACTGTGCAAGTATAATAGATATGCTATTATACTTAGATAAACTAACCGTATCTAATTAGATAGACTAACTGTATTCTGAACAAGGTAAAAACTGAAATCTATAAAATGTTTCTTGGGTTGGTAATTGTGTGCACAAGCATAACTGCAACCATCTGAAATATGGCAATGGGCGACCTAAGTCTTTTGAGGAAATCCATCAAAGACAACAATAGGTCACTGCCACATATGCAGTTGCCTAAAGAACTGAAAGCTTGAAAATTTTTCTCTTTCACAAATGCAGTATACAAAAGGAACACCTCTTCATTTATGGAGGATGTTTCAACGTTCTTACATATGCTCACAATGCTTACACATCCTCAGTGTTGTGATAATGCACTAATAGACGCAGAAAGTGAATTAGCACTCTCTCTAAATCCATTATGGCATTTATATCTCCAGTGTTGGGAATGATGTGAAGGTGAAATAGCATAGTGAATTGTAAAAAAAAAAAAAAAAATATTGCTGGCAATTTAATCTACTGGAGAAATAACTTTAAAAAGAGAACTAAAGAAAAAATGGAGCGAAAAACGAAAACAACATCCTCCACCTTCCCCCACCAAAAGAAGAAAACGTGGTATATGAAAAAAGATGGGTGTGGGCAATTCCATGGAGCCAGGCAGACCGTAAGAGCTGCTCCCTTTCACAATCATTGTATTGTACTTTTAAATCTTAAGCCTTGCATGTTCATGAATAGTTGTTTATTCTTGTTTTTTTAGGGTGTGGCTATCCTTAGAGAATGGGTTTGTACTCATTTTCTATGTGGTGCTGCTCTTTTTTGAAATTCGTCATGATTCAATATACAATTTTTTGTTTTTTAAAAAAAGCATACCCCGGCTGGCGCTGCAGTGTGGTAGGCTTAGCCTCTGCCTGTGGCGCCACATCCCATATGGGCACCAGTTTGAGACCTGGCTGCCCCTCTTCTGATCCAGCTCTCTGCTATGGCCTGGGAAAGCAGGTACCTGGGCCCTTGTACCCGCGTGGGAATCCCAGAAGAAGCTCCTGGATCCTGGCTTTGGATCAGTCCAGCTCCGGCTATTGTGGCCATTTGGGGAGTGAACCAGTGGATGCAGGACCTTTCTCTCTGTCTCACCCTCTTTTTCTCTGTAACTTAATCTCTCAATAAACAAACAAACAAATAAATAAATAAATAAAGGCATTCCCTATTAAATTTTCTCACCTTGTGTGCAGTGCTTCTGTTGTTTTGGGTAGGTGAAAATTCATGCCCTGTATAGAGCTATAGAGACCACAATTGGCGGAAACAACACTTAGGACTGAATAGCAACATCACCGCCTAAGTGTCTTCTCATTCTACCTTGCACGCAATTATTTCTGAACCAGTCAGTAATTTCTCTGACTTCTTCCGGCAAATGCAGCTTTAAGTAATTAAAAGGTCTTAGAATTTCATCAGCCAGAAGGAATGTCATTGCAGACAACTGATGCATTATTAAACTGAAGTCTTTGTCATGGCTGTATTTGTTGTGTGGCCAATCCCTTCTCCAGAATTTAGTTTTCTACCACTCCCATATGGCCTTATTCACATGGAAATCTCAGTTTTCAGAATTGAAGCTTTGAAGGTTTCAACATTCAGGACTTTAACTGTGATTTTAATTTTTAGGACTGTAGATGTTAGGGATTTTAGACTTTAGGGATTTTTACCATTCAGGATGTCAACATTTGGGATTATGGCACATGGGATCGTGTCTTTTGGGGTATGATTGGCACCAGAATATAAGAATGTTATGGTGGAAGGGGCGGGCATTGTAGCTTAATGGGTAAAGGAGCTGCCTGCAAAGCTAGCATCCCACGTGGTCACTTGTTTGTGCCCAGCTGCTCCACTCCTGATCCAGCTCTCTGCTAATGGCCTAGGAAAAGCAGCAGAAGATGGACCAAGTGCTTGGGGCCCTGCCACCTATGTGGGAGACCCAGAAGAAGCTCCTGGCTCCTTGTTTCGGCCATCTGGGGTGTGAACCAGCGGATGGAAGATCTCTCCCTCTCTTTCTCTCTGTAACTACAGTATACATCCGTTGAAAGACATTCCCTCATTTCAGAAATGTTCAAATGAGAACAAAAACTGTACTTAGGTTCAAACATGTATCTTATCCTTTAGCACCATACCATTTTTATAAGCAGCTCATATTCTTTGAAGTAGGGTACAAATTTAATTTAATAAAGAGCCCTCCCTGTAGTTAGCTATCTTCCTATGTGAAAGAATAGCAACCTCAGTAAGGAGTGGTGTGTTTTGAAGGAAGTATTTTATCAATTAGAAATTGCTCAATGGATATTAAAGGGTTGATCATTCCAAACATTTCTTGCATAGAAAAGCTTATAATCATGACATTCCTTTGTTCCAACAGAGGAGTTTATGTTCTGGAAATAAAAGGGAAGGGACTTGGTTGAGATTCAGTAAATGATTGCTTTGCCATGGTTTTGGAAAAGAAGCTGATGGTCTACTCACTGGATCCTTCCGTGATGTTGCTGGCAAATGAACTTCCCCCGGCTGAGCTGCACCTTTTGCCGTCTTTGAATTGCTGCCTCCTTCTGGCCCACTGGTCTACGGCTTCTTCCTGGGAACCGTCACTGGCTCTTCCACCTCCTGCAGCCAACTCCTGGGACAACTTTCGGAGGCTATTTATTTCCAAATTCTCATCTAGATTCAACCACATTAAGTATGAAAGTGAGACATTTCAGGACAGAACATCATATATTGCAGTCCTTGAAGCAGAACCATGTAGATTAAAACTAAGATAATTTCATTCAATTCTTTCATGGTTCACTTTCTAAACTTGTGCTACTTAAAAGAAAGAGCCATGTAGCTTAACAAATAGATTTATATAGAAAAAGAGGGTGGCTAGGTCATGAAGCATTGCTTCAGGTGGATTCAATTTAACAGATATTCCCTGGGAACCAGCAATTTGCCTGCTGTTACATTTACTGTGGAGGGCAAAGTACAAGGAACTGTTAAGCATGTCTACTAAATTTTCAATAAGAAGGTAGTACTACCTGAGTTAGTTCAATCACAATCCATGGTAATAAGTTTAGTGTTGAACTCACATATTTATGGCTTGACCTCTATTCATCACGAGTATACAAATTTCATGATACATTTTTGCTACCTATATTGGTTCAAAATGGAGAAAAAGAAAAGAAATATCAAAATGCATGAAGGTGGAGCTGGCGCAGTGGCTCACTTGGTTAATCCTCCGCCTGCGGCACCGGCATCCCATATGGGCGCTGGGTTCTAGTACTGGTTGCTCCTCTTCCAATCCAGCTCTCTGTTGTGGCCCAGGAGGGCAGTGGAGGATGGCCCAAGTGCTTGGGCCCCTGCACCCACGTGGGAGACCAGGAGGAAGCTCCTGGCTTCGGATCGGTGGAGCACGCCAGCTGCAAGCACGCTGGCCATAGTGGCCATTTTGGGGGTGAACCAATAGAAGGAAGACCTTTCTCTCTGTCTCTCTCACAGTCTAACTCTATCTGTCAAAATATAAAAAAAAAAAAAAAAAAGGAAAACAAATGCATGAAGGCTTGCTAATTTTAAATTTGTATAAATGACAATTTGAAATACTCAATGCAGTTCAAAACTGTTGCCTTCTGTCATCACAAGCCATGTCTCCATGTATTAATTAAAAAAATCTTTCCAAAGAAATGACTACAATCCAATCAAACTTTAGGAAAATAACTGAAAACAGTAAAATAAAAAGAAAGCCCGGGGGCCAGTGCTATGGCGCAGTAGGTTAAAGCCTTGGCCTGAAGCGCCGGCATCCCTTATGGGCCCCGGTTCTGGTTCCAGCTGCTCCTTTTCCAATCCAGCTCTCTGCTGTGGCCTGGGATAGCAGAGGAGGATGACCCAAGTCCTTGGGCCTCTGTACCCGCGTGGGAGACCCGGGGGAAGCTCCTGGCTCCAGGCTTCAGATTGGCGCAGCTCTGTCCATTGTGGCCATCTGGGGAGTGAACCAATGGATGGAGAACTTTTCTCTCTCTCTCTCTGCCTCTCTCTTTCTCTCTGTGTAACTCTGACTTTCAAATAAATAAAATAAGTCTTTTTTTTAAAAAATAAAAGAGAAAGCCCAAACAGGAGAACACATAATACTTGGGAAGTCGTTGATAGAGTGAAATTGGTTAAACTTTTACTTGATTTTACTGTGAATTAATGCTATAAGTAGTACTGAAACAGTATTTTACACTTTATGTTCTGTGTGGGTGCAAACTGATGAAATCTTTACTTAATATATACTAAATTGATCTTCTGTATATAAAGATAATTGAAAATGAATCTTGATGTGAATGGAATGGGAGAGGGAGTGGGAGATGGGAGGGGTGCGGGTGGGAGGGAAGTTATGGGGGGGAAAAAGCCATTGTAATCCATAAAGTGCACTTTGGAAATTTATATTTACTAAATAAAAGTTTAAAAAAAATAAACAAAGAGAAAGCAACATAAACTTAAAGAGGCCAAAATTTGACCTTTATTTTCTTCTCTTATCACCCAATGAGGTTTTTTTTTTTTTTGACAGGCAGAGTGGACAGAGAGAGAGACAGAGAGAAAGGTCTTCCTTTGCCGTTGGTTCGTTGGTTCACCCTCAAATGGCCGCTGTGGCTGGCGCGCTGCGGCCGGTGCACAGCGCTAATCCGATGGCAGGAGCCAGGTTATCCTGGTCTCCCGTGGGGTGCAGGGCCCAAGCACTTGAGCCATCCTCCACTGCACTCCCTGGCCACAGCATAGAGCTGGCCTGGAAGAGGGGCAACCGGGACAGAATCCGGCACCCCGACCAGGACTAGAATCTGGTGTGCTGGTGCCACAAGGCGGAGGATTAGCCTAGTGAGCCACAGCGCTGGCCTACCCAATGAGTTTTTACAATTTGGTCTTTACAAGTTAAAATCTAATTTACAAACCTCAAAAAATTTTTTCAGAACTATTTAAATAATAAATGGGTTATATGCATGGATAAAGAATCTTCTTTACTTTTGTGCAATTATTAATGATACATGTGCAAAACTGCTTTCATGCAGTTGTTAGAGTCAAACAGGTGGCTTGAGGAAAGAATCATCACCCAACTCCGTAACTCTATTACTGACTCTTACCACCTTCCCGGGAAACAGGAAGGCAACAGCAAAGCAACATCCTTTCTATAATAGTCAGTGTCCACAGTCTGAGTGCTGATTGGTTACTGGGGCTCAGGGATGATCAAAATGACTTCTGCCCTCTGGAACTCTGCAGAGTGGTGCATTTTAAAAATGCTACAGGGGGTCGGCGCTGTGGCATAGCAGGTAAAGCTGCCGCCTGCAGCGTCAGCATCCCTCACGGGTGCTGGTTCGAGTCCCGGCTGCTCCACTTCGAATCCAGCTCCCTGCTATGGCCTGGGAAAGAAGTACAAGATGGCTCAAGTCTTTGGGCTCCTGCACCACGTGGGAGACCTGGAGGCAGCTCCTGGCTCCTGGATTCAGACAGGTGCAGCTCTGGCTGTTGCAGCCATCTGGGAAGTGAGCCAGCGGATGGAAGACCTCTCTCCCTTTCTCTCTGCCTCTGCCTCTCTGTAACTCTACCATTCAAATAAATACAATAAATATTTAAAAATAAATGACTGGCTATTTCCTCCAGGACTTGCTCCAGTTTTACCATTTGTTGAGACAGAGTCCAGGTTGATTGTGAAGGCCTTCACGAAAGGGAGAACTTTGTTATATCAAGTATTTTATATAGTAGCAATTCTTTATCAAAATTGCTAAGGAAAAAAGAAGTCCTCTAAGTCTAGGAAGTTGCCTGTGATGGGGATATGGCCCTGTGCTGTAGTTTTCCTGTAAGATCGTCTAGTGGCTGGTATTGTGGTATAGCCGGTAAGTTGCTGCCTGTGACGCCAAAATCCCATATGGGTGCCAGTTCAGCTCTTGGCTGTTCCAGTTCTGATCCAGCCCTCTGCAAAGCAACTGGGAAAGCAACGGAGAATGGCTGAGTGCTTGGGCCCCTACACCTACATGGGAGACATGGAAAAAGCTCCTGGCTTCCATCTGGGCAAGTCCTAGCTGTTGTGGCCATTCGGGGAGTGAACCAACAGATGGAAGGTGTGTGTGCCTCTGTGTGTGTGTGTGTGTGTCCCTCTCTCTCTGTAACTCTGCCTCTCAAGTAAATAAAATAAATCTCTTTTTAAAGAAGATTTTCTTCTATACTCCAAAAAAGAGAAAGGATATACCCTCCAGTATGTTTTGAAGTGTAACTACAGAATGACTGAAATGTCCAAGTACCAGGTATCGCTCACATTTTCTGATTTGGTATTTGTAAAATCTCAAGTTGCAACAAATACAAAATTTAGTATGGTCCAATTACCTTCTATTTCAAGGGGCCACTGCAAAATCATTTGGTCTGGCCCTGCCAAGGCAACTGCAGGCAGGACTTGAAAAGCAATAAATCTGTAGCAGGTTAAATTTTAAGTTGATAATTTTGTTTGGCCTGTGGATGATGTTATAAAAATCCAGGTGGCTGTTGGCAGAAGAAAATTTCCTCACCCTTGCTATGTGCTCAAAATACTTCTACAAATTTTCTACCATGTGGTCATTCAGTCCTGGCTTGAATACTTCTCAGACTCAAATTTAGCACCTGTGGACCAGCCTAATCCTTACATGCTTCAACTTGATAGAGAGTGTCTGTGTGGTTTATCAAAATGGTGTCTCAGTAATCTCCATTCTTATGTGTGCCACCTCTTTATCCACTAATATATGAGCCTTTCTAGGAACCAGGACAATTTTTTAAAAATTTCATTTTTACTTATTTAAAGACAAAGAGAGGGATGGGGGAGAAAGATAGAGAGAGAGAATGAATCTCCCATCCACTGGTACATTCCTCAAATGGCCGCAATGGCTAGGGCTGGGCCAGACTGAAGCCAGGAGCCTGGAACTCATCTGGATCTCACGCATGAGTAGCAAGGACTAGACACTTGGGTCATCATCTGCTGCCTTCCCAGGCTCATTAGCAAGGAGCTGGATGGGAAGTGGAGCAGCCAGGCCTCAAACCAGTGCTGCTCTATGGGATTCTGATGTTACAGTTAGCAGCTTAACTCACTGAACCACGATGCTGCCTGGGAGCCAGGAAATGTGCCAGGGATGGAATGAAGACACACACTGAAGTTTCTCAAAGGACTCTTAACATATAAATGTCACTTTGTAGGGGCAATATGTTAACTCACTAGAAAACACAAATGTTTCATCAATTGCTATGTTTTGGATGTACACAAATACTTCAAAATGCTCATTGAGCATTATCTTTGTAATTCTGTTTTTTCCTGAAGTTTTTAAGGCACCCTCATATGTGTTTCCCAACAATTCATAGGTTGGAACCTAATGCCCAGTGTGCTAAGATTAAGAGATGGGGCCTGCCAGAGATTACTAAATCTTAAGGGGTTTGCTCTCTAAAAGGGCTAGAAGGAACTAGCCAGGCCCTTTTGTCCTCCTGTTCTCTGCCTCCAACCATGGCGATATACAGCTTTTGCCCATTCTGCTGTGAGTACACCAGAAACAAGGCACTGTACTGGTAGCAGGAAGCGGGTCTTCCCCAGACACAGAATGCCAGCACCCTGATTTCAGACTTCTCCAGCTCCAGAACTGCCAGAAATAAATTTGTGTCCTCTATAAATTACACACTCACTGGTATTTTACTGTAGCAGCAAGCCTGGACAGAGACAACAAACTTAAGTGTGAACATGGAAGGCACCACCACGAAAGTTGGGGAGTCCCAGCAAGTGAGTGGGAGAGGCCAGAGAGAAAACGCCTATCCCAGCCTCGCTGTGCTGGGAGAAAGCATGGGCACTGTGACGGCAGCTGGGACCTTGCATCCAGAAAGTTGCCAACTTCACCAGGAGGTTGGTTTCTTAGAAATGATCCCAATCATTCTTTCATTCTGCTACAAAAAAAAAAAAAAGGAATACCTTGTCTATTCATTTTTTTTATTCCTAGTGCTTGATGCAGAGCCTGGGAACCCAAATTTTCCTGGATCCTCCATCATCTACACTTTTCTGTCCTGGTATGGATTCTCAGAGTCATTCCTGTCTAAGGGGTACTTGGAAAATAAGCCATCTCATATACTGCCTGTATTGTTTATGTCTTATAACATATAAAGGGCTGTTTAATTATAAATATTTCTACGTCATATCAAACACCATGTAGCTGTCACTTCCCCAGCATGACTGAGTTTTAGTTTCCTAAATAAAAATTTTTTATGATGTACAATTTCTGCTTTGTTGGCATAGATCTTACAGATGTATTTCAGTCCACTTACAGCAGAAGAAATCCTGCCTGGAGAAGGTACCTTTTTATCCTAGAATGGACAGCCCGTACCTGGCACAGGAAGAGCTCAGAATTTCACTTTCACAGTTTCAACTTGATTTCCTTTCCCATACAGCACACTGGCTCTGTTACTTCCCATCACACAGCCACATCCATCGGTTCTTGTTTCTCCAGGTCAAAGGTCACAGATTATTTACCTATGCTGTGTCTTTCAAATCTCATAATCCGGATATATATGGATAAAAAACCCTACATGGCTGGCACCACGGCTCACTAGGTTAATCCTCTGCCTGCGGCGCCGGTACCCGAGGTTCTAGTCCCAGTTGGGGCGCTGGATTCTGTCCCGGTTGCTCCTCTTCCAGTCCAGCTCTCTGCTGTGGCCCGGGAGGGCAGTGGAAGATGGCCCAAGTGCTTGGGCCCTGCACCCGCATGGGAGACCAGGAGGAAGCACCTGGCTTCTGGCTTCAGATCGGTGCAGTGCGCCAGCCGTAGCAGCCATTTGGGGGGTGAACCAATGGAAGAAGACCTTTCTCTCTCTCTCTCTCTCTCTCTCTCTCTCTCTCACTGTCTAACCTGTAAAAAAAAAAAAAATCCTACAGAACTGCAAGTGTCTTGGAAAGTCAGAAGGCCTGGCTGAAGGGAATCTGCATTCTCTCTGGATGTACTCTCTGGTTTTTCCCAAGCCTGCTTTATTCATTTGCAATGCTTGCCTGGCCCCTGCAAACAGGCCTGTTCTGACTTCTAATTTAATTAATTCCCAACACACCTGCAAAGTGAAGGACCCACATATATACTGCAGTCATTATATTTAATCTGAAATATGTGGCTACACTTTGAGGAGTTAGAGAACCCCTTTATTACTTATTCATGTATTTTTATTTTATTTGAAAGTCAAGGAGACAGAGACAGAGACAGATCTTCCATCTGCCTTTTTTTTTTTGGACAGGCAGAGTGGATAGTGAGAGAGAGAGACAGAGAGAAAGGTCTTCCTTTTGCTGTCGGTTCACCCTCCAATGGCTGCCATGGCTGGTGCGCTGTGGCCGGCGCACCGCGCTAATCCGAAGTCAGGAGCCAGGTGCTTCTCCTGGTCTCCCATGGGGTGCAGGGCCCAAGCACTTGGGCCATCCTCCACTGCCTTCCTGGGCCACAGCAGAGAGCTGGCCTGGAAGAGGGGCAACCGGGACAGAATCCGGTGCCCTGACCAGGACTAGAACCCGGTGTGCCGGCGCCACTAGGTGGAGGATTAACCTATTGAGCCGCGGCGCCGGCCCCATCTGCTCTTTGACTCCCAAAATGCCTACATTAGTTAGGGCTGGGCCAAGACACAGCCAGGAACCTGAAACTTAATCTGGGTTCCCACATGGGTGGCAGGAACCCAAGAACTTGGGCCATCCATGCTGCCTCCCAGGAAGGAGGCAGGAAGCTGGATCCAAAGTGGAAGAGCCAGGACTTGAATATGAACACATCAGGCACTCTGATATGGGATGCAGGCACCCCAAGTGGAAACTCCTAACAGCTGTGTCAAATTCTCACCCAACAGGGTTCCTTTGAAGATGTACACATAAATTTGTGTCAATTCTATCAAATTATAACTATAAAATTATATCAATTTATAATTTTCAGATGGAACAATCTAAAGGTGCCCCTATTCCTCAAAGTGGCCTGTGGCCTGATGATTACAAAGTCCTGGTCTGAGGTATCAACAGTACACTGACAATTATGTTGGATACAAAACAAAAATGCTCATAGCTCGAGGAGAGCCAAGGTCATGAAAATATTTATGTATTTATAAGTTCAAATAGTTTTAAAGCAGATATGTTGATTGTTGAATGTTTTTCTATTTTTGTTTGCACATTTTGATACGTGAACAGATCCTTACACAGAAACCTGATGTGACTTTCTTGCACTCATTCTTCCATTCAGAAACTATTCATTAAATGTCGACCCTATAGGACAGGCACTGCCTAAGACTGCAGATACAGCAATGATCAATGATCAATGATCAATGATACAGCAATGATCAAAACTAGAAAAAATCCATGCCCTCCTGGACCTTACATTCTAGTGGGGGAAGAGAGACATAAACAAAACAAACCAGAAAATACATAGCAGATTAGAAGGGTGAAAAGTGGTAGGATTCGCCTGGACTGGAACTAGCGGGGCTCAGATTGTGATTTTTAATTTGTTGGTCTGATAAGGTCTTACTAACATAGTACCTTGTGAGCAAAGCTCTAAAGGACATGTGAATGAATGACGGGGACACATGGGAGGAAGCCTGCTCTATGTAGGTAGTGGGAGTAATTTATCAAAAGGCTTCAGGCAGGATTCTGGCTGGAAGTCTCTAGAACTCAAATAAATCAATGCAGCTAGCATAGACTGGTCAAGGGGAAAGGAGTAAAGGAAGGAGGCAGAGCTGCAGTGTTTCCTCTGAAGGTCTGCACAGCAGGAATCTGGAGTCGGGAGCCTTGGCCAGGATTCAAGGCCATGCAGTCTGATATGGGACACGGCCATGATCGTGAGGCCCATGCCCACCCCAGGAACAGATTTTTGATGAACCCCAGTGACACAGGGAACCAGCAGCAGGAGTTGCTTACCAAATGGGAGAATTTCCAAGCCTACTGAAGCATCACATCACCTTTGAGAGGATTATAACTGGAATTATAGATTTTACTAAGAAAGTCTGCCTTGTTGGGGGAGGCAGTAAGGAGAGAAGCGTTTCCCCTGGGGTAGATAACAGGTCTCAGAGGAATATTCATCCGGGCCAGCAAGTGTCTTCCCTGCAGGAGCTAGGGGAAGGGGAACAAGTGCTCTTTTGCAGGTTTCCTCACAGTTTAACATAACTTCGACAGTAGCAAATGTTGGGATTAATGCCATTGGTCCTGGTGTCTGCAGGAACATTTGACACAGGACAGCCGTTGCTTTGACGAATAAACTTTGCTTTAGGGTGGTATATAAAACAGGTGACTATGTAGTTTTTGACACTGTTTTAAGGACATTTGTTCTCTATAAAACAAATTCCAAATATTATGCCAGCAAGTTATGTCACTGATTAATTTTTCACATTTTATCTTCATCCTACATTTTACTTATTCCATTACGAAATTTACATCTAGAGCAACAACAAAGAAGAGGTGGCTGTCGTGCCAAGATTCATGATTTCAAATCTCATTTCTGGGGCATGTTAGCAATGCTATTGCCAGTTTGGAAGGCAGCTGTTACGCTTTGCAAATGTACTTTAATTTATACTATAGAATCACGCTAACACTATGTGTAAGATAATTTGAACTCAACAACAACAACAACAAAAAACCAAGGGCCTTGATGGAGTGACCAAAATGATATTGTGCTGATCCAAGATTGGAAGCAGACAGGCAGTATTATGCGCTTAGGGAAGAGTTTCCATCTCAGCCCTTCTGTAGTCTGCTGAGCTTCTGGGATCTATCAGCGGCTCAAGTAAGGCCGACCAATACCCAAGGGAGGTCAGAAGCCTGTTAGGGGTCAGAGACCCCGAGGATGGTTCACTCAGGTTTAACCGTGGTCGTTTCTGGTTTTTATCCTTTATTTTAATGACTATTCCACACAGTCTCCTGGGACAGGCGTACCCTGCTTCTGCAACATCACAGTAAGATTTAAAAACACATTTTATTACAACCATATTCTGCCTATTCTTCTAAAAATGCTTGGCTTGCAAGAAGGAAAGGGATGGTGGATTATTTAAGAGTGGCAAAAGGCTAACGTTTCCTATGGAATTGATTTGGCAATACATCAATCTTTTAAAGAGAAATTGATTTTTTTTAACTTTATATTAAACTGCAGCCTTGGTGAGTTTGCTATGCACTATTTATGGGTAAAGTGAGTGATAATGTAGAGAAGTAGACTGACATATATTTGCCCAAATTCATCTATCCCTAAAATACTCAATATATCTCCAGCAATGAAGAAATGATCCCAAGCAATAAAAAAAGTTCTCACCTTAAGACTTTTCAAAATCCAAACATGTAAAAATAATAAAAGTTAAAGATTCTGCATAGCCCACTGTACCTTTGAAAGCCTCCTGCTTGTGAGGTGACAGCAAGATGTCTATTTGGTGATAGTAACGTTCCCTTGAATCATTTTTGTTATCATCTCCTTCAGAATTTGGCCCTGTTGATGGAATCTTTTGGCACACTGCTGGCTCTTGGTTAAAACTGGTTAGTCCAAGACTTTTTTCATCATGGTTGCCATTTGGGTCTGCATCACTGGTCACTGTTTTCTCGATAAGAAATAGATTATCTATAGCACACTCTGCCTTATTGGACTCAGCTGCACTGGGTGGGAAATCCATTTGAAAAAAGACTTCATTGTGATTTCCATTTGACAGGTCTTCTAAATCTTTGTGGCAAGCATCCGTTATCCTTGGTGTTATCTGCCATCTGTCTTTTTCAACATTTCCCAGAGAGCTGGGTGACTCTTTGGAGTGTTTCATTCCCATGGGACAATTAGAATCAACCATGTCCTCATTATCATTTGGGGTAATTGCCCTTTGCTCTAACTCATTTGGTAGGAAGGGCATGACTGCCATTTTTATTTTGCTGAGGGCTGCTGTCTGACTTGCACAGGCCTCTGTTGGGTCCCATTCCACGGTGCTGTGGCTAATACTTGGGGGTGGACTAACTGCAGTGGGGCTGCCACAGAATGCAGGCTCAAGAGATGGATGCTGGGGACTCTTCTCCAGTAGTGGCTGTGAGTCACCATGTAAAATGGCTTGGGCACAGTCTCTGTCAGTCATAGAAACATGCTCTTTCTCATTGTTCAACTCAAATTCAGTGCAGGGATAAAAGCAAACTGTGTTCCCAAGGGTTTCTTTAGGTTCCGGATGCTTCATGGCCCAGTGAGATAGACTGAAGGAGGTAGAAGACTTTGGAGCACTTTGGCTGGGAAGGAAGGATGCAGAATTTGCCCCACTCTCCCAGTATTCAGTGGCTGGAGTTTCACCACCTCTGCAGCAGATGTTGGCTGCTTTCTCTTCTGTCAGCTGCCTGCTCAGGGAAGACAAAGAGCAAAGGTCAGAGTCATTGCCATCTTGATCTGGGGAGATGTCAGTAGTGGTACTTGGCCAAGGCTTTATTCTTCCTGTGCTTTGCTGAGCACTGGAGTCTAATGGGATGTTTTCTGGGATACCAAGTTCATTTTTTCTCTCTGTATCCTCATCTGCAAAGGGCATTGCACTTACACCTGGATTACTGACACTTGAGATCTTCGGGGTATTGTGCAACGTGGGAAGAGTGCTTGAATCCTCCCCTTGGATAGCATGCACAGGAGGAGGCAAGACAGTCCAACCCACTGCCCTCTGACACCCATTTCTAAGCCTCCACTTCTCAGGGTGTCTCACGGTGGACTGTGAAGCAGGCCTGGAACACTCTTCAGCACTCTGATTGCAGGAAACATTCCTGCGCTTCGTGACTTTTCCCCGCTTTTTAGGATGAGTTATGTTAATGCAAACGTCCTGCATCTCACTCATGTATTTGACTTTAATTTCTCTGCCTACAATGCTAACTTGCAGGGTGGGGCTCTCAGGTGTGGCGATTCCTCCCTTGCTCTTAGAGGACACCTCGGGCTTTCGTTCTTCAGCCAAAACATTCTTGGATTTAGGAAAGCAGCTCCGAGACGTGTAGCATCTCCTACCGTGTCTGATGGAGAAACTCTGGTGACACCTTGGACATCTCGTTTTTGTTGGGAGCTGGGCACCTGTTTTGCAGAAAAAGCTTTTCTTGATTTCTACCTGAACACTGACAGCCCCACATTTCACTTCTGTAGTAAATTTTCCTTTTGCTCTTTTTACGACCTCTACTGTGCTTGGGAGATGCTGTAGTGTAATTTTCCCTGGTGATTGTTGACAGTCATCAGCTGGGACTGCTGGTAAGCCTTTCTCGAGTTGATGAGACACGGCAGTAGGGGGGCCTTCGTTTTCCTTCCCCTTATACTTTGTGTTGTCAGAAGGAGGCTGTTTCTTATCCTTAGGGAGAAAGGAGGGATTCTGCTTCCCGTTCATCTTAGGAGCAGACATGTGCTCATCTCTGCTTTCCTGAGATTTCCCTGATGCCCCAGTCTGATGAAACACAGCCTTCGAAATGTCTCCTTTGACTTCCTTTTCCAGATCTTTTATATTTTTTTGGCTTGGTTGACCAGCAGGCTGAGATGCACCTTGAAGAGCAAGGAAGAGGGGAAAAAAAAAAGGTTTCTATGTCCATTTAGAAAGAATTCCTAATTCTAGGATAAAACTCAATGAATATCTTTTTGTAAGTATTCTGGGTTAACAGTTTTCCTGTATTTCTGGCACATCAAGGTATTTTCCACAAATGTTCATTTCTTTTTTTTTTTTTATTTGACAGATAGAATTAGACAGTGAGAGAGACAGAGAGAAAGGTCTTCCTGCCGTTGGTTCACCCCCGAAATGGCCACTACGGCCGGAACTATGCCAATCCGTAGCCAGGAGCCAGGTGCTTCCTCCTGGTCTCCCATGCAGGTGCAGGGGCCTAAGTACTTGGGGCATCCTCCACTGCCTTCCAGGGCCACAGCAGAGAGCTGGACTGGAAGAGGAGCAACCAGGACTAGAACCCGGTGTCCATATGGGATATGGGATGCTGGCGCCGCAGGTGGAAGACTAACCAAGTGAGCCACAGTGCCGGCCCACAAATGTTTATTTCTAATAAGTATCTTGTTTTAAATCAGAGTATTGCTTAGTAGTGTTAGGAAGTAAGAGTTTAGTGAAGCTTCGCTCTAAAATAACAGGTTCCAAAAAGGGAGTGAAGTGAGAATTTCAGTTGAAATGTATGCAAGTAAATTTTACATATAACCTCCTGATAAAGAGTTAGTTGTCATGGGCAGTTTTGGACATGCCATGATGCCTAACAGGCTAAATCAAGCTCCATATAATTTGAAATGGTTCCAAAAGATGTGGATAAGCCTTTGGAAGGCTTCCAGGCAGTCTTCCCTTTGCCCCCAACTATTATAGCATACCTTCACCAACTTCCAATCCTGTGGTGCCCTGTGGGTCATATAGACAAGTGAAGGAGGCTGGCGCATCTCTGCTGTCAGCTCCTGACAGAGTTGGCCAAGAAAGAAAGCATCGTAGCATTCTGAAGTCCCCTCAGTTTCCGAAGAGAACTACAGTCTGGATTAATACATATGGAGTGGGTGCCACTGTGAAATCTCTCACTTTCTAAGTATTGACTCAAGTTTTAAAAATCTTCTATAGGTGGAGGCCAATGTCTTCACGGATCAGTTTTTGGTAAGAGCTGTCCGCTTGCAGACTGTACTCCTCTGCTTTGTATTGTTAAACTATTTTGCTGTGAGAAATGTGAGCAACAGGAGGCCTTTAAGTTGATTAAATAAAGTCTTGAAAGGGATAACTTATAAATTTATTTTAGATGCTCTTAATACATGAATTCTGTAGGCAGGGGCTTCAGGAAGTTCACAGAAAAATGAAATTAAGATGCTCTTTGATGCAAACAATTTTTTTTCTGAATTTATTTATGCTTTTTTTTTTTTTTTTTACAGGCAGAGTGGACAGTGAGAGAGAGAGAGACAGAGAGAAAGGTCTTCCTTTGCCGTTGGTTCACCCTCCAATGGCTGCCACGGCCGGCGCGCTGCGGCCGGCGCACCGCGCTGATCCGATGGCAGGAGCCAGGTGTTTATCCTGGTCTCCCATGGGGTGCAGGGCCCAAGGACTTGGGCCATCCTCCACTGCATTCCCTGGCCACAGCAGAGAGCTGGCCTGGAAGAGGGGCAACCGGGACAGAATCCGGCGCCCCGACCAGGACTAGAACCCGGTGTGCCGGCGCCGCAAGGTGGAGTATTTATGCATTTTTAACTTTGAAGGCACAGAGACAGATTTTCCATTCACTGCCTCACTCCCCAAATGTCCACAATAGTCAGGGCTGGGATGGCCTGAAGCCAGGAGCCCAGAACTCCATTCAGGTCTCCCACGGGGGTGGTGGCAGAGACTGAAGTACCTGAGCCATCATCTGTTGCCTCCCAGGGGTTTCATCAGTGGGAATTGGATTGGAAGCAGAAATGAACCAAGGACTTCAACTGGGGATGTGGGTATCCCAGGTAGCAACTCAGCCACTGCACCAAATGCTCACCTTTGGTGCAAAAGATTTTGAAATCAATGCATAGTTTTTTCATAATACACATTTTCTATGAACTTTTTGATGACCCCCTCAGGTACACTTATATAATTACAAAATATTTGGAGTTATACAAGTACTTACGTATATGGTAAATAAATAAAATCTCTTCAATATGAAAGAGAACATATTGTAGTGACTTGGAGCATAACCATTTGCTTCTGTTTCAGCCTGAAGGGAGGCTCCTCTCTTATCAGGGGCTGGCATGGTTTCCAATGCCCGGGTTACAGTCTGAGAGTGTAATGTGGAGACAGATCTCTCTAGTCCATTATGACAGAGCAGGGGCATGATCACAGTTTATACACTGATAGAAGGCCTTCCAGAACTAGAGATCACCATTTGTTCTTTTTTTTGAAAGGCAGAGTTAGACAGTGAGAGAGAGACAGAAAGGTCTTCCTTCCGTTGGTTCACCCCCCAAATGGCCACTACAGCTGGCACGCTGCACCAATCCGAAGCCAGGAGCCAGGTGCTTCCTCCTGGTCTCCCATGGGGTGCAGGGCCCAAGCACTTGGGCCATCCTCCACTGCCTTCCCGGGCCACAGCAGAGAGCTGGCCTGGAAGAGGAGCAACCGGGACGGAATCCGGTGCCCCAACTGGGACTAGAACCTGGGGTGCCGGCGCCACAGGCGTAGGATTAGCCTAGTGAGCCGCGGTGCCGGCCACCATTTGTTCTTAAAATAACAACTTCATGCCAAGAGCAGTTAAGTTTATACCTCCTTTCTATTTCATAATCCTATATTTTATAGCTTCTTTCAATTGAATACACTTCAATTTCTGCAAGAAGGAAGATAGAACTGAGATATTTACACTACCTAAGCTTCCAAGCTTCTGTGAATAGGGATTTTAATGGCCTATCTTTGAGTAAGTAAACATTTCAATTTAAATTTTATTGCTCACAATACATACCATTAATAATTGCCAAATTTAAAAATTATTTTATAATATTTCTTTTTATTTTATTTTAAAAGATGTATTTATGTATTTGAAAGGCAGAATAACAAAGAGAGAGGAAGAGAGAGAAAGAGAGAGAGATCTTCCATTAACTGATTCACTCCCCAAATGGCTGCAATGGTTGGGAGTGGGCCAAGGTTAAGCCAAGAGTCTGGAGCTCCATCCGTGTCTCCCATAATGAGTTCAAGGCGCCCAAGCACTTGGGCCACCCTCTGCTGCTTTCTGAGGTGTATTCTCAATGAGCTGGATTGGAAGTGGAGCAGCCAGGACTCTAATTGGTTCTCATATAGGATGCTGGTTTTGCGGGCGGCGACTTTCTGCTATGCCACAATGCAGCCCTGGTTTATTTAGTTATTGGTGCTGGCATTGTGGCACAGTGGGTTAAGCCATTGCCTGTGTTGGCAGCATCCCATAGGAGCACTGGTTCAAGTCCTGGGTGCTCCCTAATACACTTGGTAAAGCAGCAGATGATGTCCAAAGTGCCTGGGCTCCTGCCACCCATGTCAGAGACATATATGGAGTCCCAGGCTCCTGGCTTTAGCCTTAACCAGCCCTGGCCATTGAGGCCACTTGGGGAGTGAACCAGTGGATGGAAGATCAATCGATCTCTCTCTCTTTCTCTCCCTCTCTCTCTCTTTCACACACACTCTCTCTCTCCCCCCCTCTCCCTGCAACTCTGCTTTCAAATAAATAAAAATAAATTAAAACTAAATCATTATTTGAAAGGTGTGGGGGGCAGTAGAAAGGGAGAGGTAAAGAAAGAGAGAGAGAGAGAGAGAGAGAGAGATCATCTCCTGGTCTTCTTTTTTACTCCACAAATGCTCAGGCTGAAGCCGGGAGCCAAGAACTTTAACTGGGTATCCCACATGGGTGGCAGGAGCCCAGCTACTCGAACCGTCACCTGCTGTCCCCAGTGTGAACTAGCAGGAAATTGGAATTGGGAGTGGAGCCAGTACTTGAACCTAGGCATCGTAACATGGGTTGCAGGTGTCCTGAATGGCATCCTAGCCACTGTTTGCATGGCAGAATATTTACATGTACTTATTGTCTTACTTTCATTCATATTCCTGTGATAAAGAACAAGGTACATGAGCTAGGTAGTTGATTTTATGTATACACAATTGTTGGATCAGACTTACATAGTGTGGTATTCAAGATTTTCCATTTTTTGTAGGCCTTTCTTCTTTTCCTCCTCATTCTGGGGAGCTGTGCGTCCTCAGCTTTCACTGCCCTTTGAAAGTATAAAATTTGAAATTAATTTTCACTCAGAATTTTTTAAATTAAATTATGGACTAGCTTAACTCACTTCCTGACTTGGTCATATAGTAGCTTTCTTTGTTATCTCTGTAGTATCTGCTTTTGAATATATTTTGTTGTCAAAATATATTTTCCAGGGCTGGAGCCATGGCTCACTTGGTTAATCCTCCACCTGTGGTGCCAGCATCCCATATGGGTGCCGGTTCTAGTTCTGGCTGCTCCTCTTCCAGTCCAGCTCTCTGCTGTGGCCTGGGAAGGCAGTGGAGGATGGCCCAAGTGCTTGGGCCCCTGCACCCGCGGGGGAGACTGGGAGGAAGCACCGGGCTCCTGTCTTTGGATCGGTGCAGTTCCGGCCAAAGCAACCATCTAGGGAGTGAACCAATGGAAGGAAGACCTTTCTCTCTCTCTCTCTCTCTCACTGTCTATAACTCTGTCAAAAAAAAAGTCTGAAAATATATTTTCCTTTCCTCTCCCATTCCATCCCCACTGTTTCACCTGTGGTTAAATACTGTGTGAACATTCACACATTACATGTACAATATTTGTATTGTAGACAGGGTACAAGTGGCAAAATAATGCTTAATTATTCTGATGTTTCATGTTTTGCTATTCTAATAGAAACATCTTAACTTTTTATGAACTTGACCAAAATTCCATATCATCAAATTTGTGATTCTGCAAAGATAAGTGGGATGGGTAGATGGTTTGTCTTTGCTACATCATCATCATACTTAATAGTGAATATTATTGTAATATATAACATTATATTGCAATATTACTGAACACAGATACTGGCAGACTCAGCAATTCCTTGCAGAAACTGGAATTCGTTCAGTTGTGAACCACAGGGTGCTATTCCCTGTGGCAATATCAAAACTCACAGGAGGTATTTGAGGAGGTGTTGGAGAGCAATCCGTCTCCTGGTGTCTCAGGCCCCACTGCACCGAGGCACCTGCCTGAACTCAGGGCTCCGCTTGCTTCTAAGCTTCCCCTTTAAAAGGATTAAGCTGAAAGCAAAGCTGCAAGGCAAAGGGCTCTGCACGTAGCCGTTTCTTCTGAGAGTATTTGGGCAGATGGTGCCTTTGGACACCTCAACTGAGAAGCTTGACTTATTTGTTTCCTGCGTAACTCAAATAAAATAGGGCGGATTTAGCAAAGTTACTTAAATTTGTCTCTCTCCCTTCAAAAATTCCACGTCCTGGTATCATTCATTTCAAGGCCTTCTGATTCCGCAGACTGAGAAAGGCTCATGATTTTCATAATTTGCTTTTTCTTTAGGCCGTTCTTCTTGACAGAGCAATTGGCGCTCTTCTTCCCAATTATCCTTTGTGCTCTCTCCCCACCCTAGACGCATAACTGAGTCCGAGGGTGAGCAGGACGGCAATAGTCCTTTCTTCTCAGAACCCAATGTGGGGGCTGGGTTGGGCTGAGGATTATAAACACATTACTTAGTATCTTTCCTTTTGTATCTCTTTCTTACACATGTTGGGTTTTCTAATTTAAAAAACACTTTCAGGGGCTGATGCCATGGTGCAGGGAGTTAAAGCCCTGGCTTGAAGCACTGGCATTTCATATGGGCACTGGTTCTAGTCCCGGCTGCTCCTCTTCCGATTCAGCTCTCTGCTGTGGCCTGGGAAAGCAGTAGAAGATGGCCCAAGTCCTTGGGCCCCTGCACCCGCGTAGGAGACCTAGAAGAAGCTCCTGGCTCCTGGCTTCAGATCAGCTCAGCTCTGGCTGTTGCGGCCATCTGGGGAGTGAACCAGCAGATGGAAGACCTCTCTCTCTGTCTCTACCTCTCTCTGTAACTCTGACTTTCAAACAAATAAAATAAATCTTTTTTAAAAAGCCACTTTCAAAGCCCTGGACTAGGCTATTGGATGTTTCTCTATGGTTACTGTAGTGTGCAGGGCACAGTGTAGCCCGTTGGGCTTGGAATCAGTGGACCTTGCTGGTTGGCTGTGCTGCTCCCTCAGCAGGTCTGGTAATCTCTGTGAGGCTGACTTTCCTTCAGCTCTGAGGTAGAAATGACAACCAACTCTACCTTCCAGAGATGTCCTAAAGAAACACAATTAAAGACTTGCTGCAAATGGTTCCAATCAAATTGTACCTGTTATTCTTAACCTATTAGAGTGTATGCAAGAGAATACTTCAAAAGATCCATATGAAAGTGGAATTAAAAGATAAGTTTATTTTGGTGCAAAAAACTTGAAATCCTTGCACATCAGGTATCTTCCAAAAGTTCACAGAACATGCATATTGTGAAAAATTATGCATGGGTTTCATCTTTTGCATTAAAATAAACTTATTGGGGCAGATGTTATGGCCCAGTGGGTTAAGCCTCTGGAAGGGCCACATTACTTATCAGAGTGACTGGTTCAAGTCTAGGCTTCTCCATGCTTCCAATTCAATATACAGCTATTGTGCCTAGGATACAGTGGATGATGGTGCAAAAGATGGAAGATTCCATGACCGGCGCTATGGCATAGCAGGTAAAGCCTCTGGCTGCAGTACCAGCATCCTCTATGGGTGCCAGTTCGCATCCTGGCTGCTCCACTTCTGATTCATCTCCCGGATAATTTGCCTGGGAAAGCAGTGGAAGATGGCCCAAGCCCTTGGACTCCTGTATCCATGTGGGAGACCTGGAAGAAGCTCCAGGCTCCTGGCTTTTTATCAGCCTAACTCTGGCCATTGCCATTTGGGGAGTGAACCAGCGGATGGAAGAACTCTCTCTCTGCCACTGCCTCTGCCTCTCTGTAACCCTGCCTTTCAAATAAATAAATCTTTTAGAAAAAAAATCTTTGACTCCTGTTTTTCCTTAAACTTTTTTTAATATTTAAACAAACTTTTAATTCCTTTTATTTTATTTAAAAGGCAAAGAGGCACAGTGAAAGAGACAGAAAGAGACAGATCTTCCACTTCTCTCAACCCCTAAATGCCCACAGCAGCCATGACAGGGCCAGGATGAAGTCAGGAGCCTGGAACTCCATCTGAGTCTCCCTCATGGGTGGCAGGGACCCTAGTACTAGAGCTAACACTTGCCGTCTCTCTGAGTGCACATTAGCAGGAAGCTGCAAAATCAAACAGAACTGGGAACCATTAGTCCAAATGCTTGCCTCAGAAGTTGGTTTTCTTTTTAAAACAAATCAATGGCCCATATATATGGCTGGGCTAGTTATCTTTCTTGGTATGTGCTTCTGTAAGAGGGATCTAAATCAGCTTATGGCTGCCCCTGGAGTCATTGTTCTAAGTCCTAAGCAGGTTGTAGGATGCTATCAATTCTACTTCATCTGCAAACATTTTCTTCATGGCATGGCTGCAGCCACATCATCTAAACTGGGCCCGAGTAAAATGAGAGGGAAGATGGTACCGCTTAGCTTCCCTGACTCCTGTTTCTGCCCTCTCTTCTCCCACGTGGTCATGTTATGCTATCTAGTCTTTCTCCCTTCTTTCATTTATTTATTTATTTTAGAGATTTATGTACTTTATTTGAAAGTCAGAGTGACACAGAGAGAGAGAGAGAGAGAGAGAGACAGAGAGAAAGAATCCCCTATCCAGTAATTCACCCGGCTGGTTGAGGTCAAAGCCAGGACCCGGAACTCCACCTGGGTTGTCCGTGTAGGTGACAGGAGGCTGAGTACCTGGGCCAACATCCTCTGCCTCCCAAGCACATTAGCAGCAAGTTGTGGAGTAAGCTGGGACTAGACCAAGGCACTGTGTTATAAAGGATGTGGGTGTCCCAAGCCAGGGCTTAACCTATTGGGCCACAACACCCACCATTCTCTCTTCTTTTAAAAGGGCCCGATAAACTTAGGGACAAAGCGGCAGCACTGAAAAACATTTTAGAACATTGAAGAATTTGATATTTGATTTTTCAAACATTTCAAGTGGTCACTATTGGAAAAATCAAAATATTGTGGGATTTCTTCACACATGATTAGAATTTACAATGTTTCTACATCATTTCAAAGCTTTCCTATAGTGATTTCATAATATTTTCATATATCCTCTTTTTTAAAATTTTATTTATTTATTTGAAAGGCAGAGTTAGACAATAAGAGGGAAAGAGAGAGAGAGAGGGGGAGAGGGAGAGGGAGTGGGAGAGGGAGAGAGAGGGAAAGAGAGAGAGAGAGAGAGAGAGAGAGGTCTTCCTTCTGCTGGTTCACTCCTCAGATGGCCACAACAGCCAGAGCTGTGCCAATTTGAAGCCAGGAGCCAGGAGCTTCTTCCATGTCTCCCATGCTGGTGCAGTTGAGCAAGGACTTGGGCCATCTTCTACTGCTCTCTCAGGCCACAGCAGAGAGCTGGATTGGAAGTGGAGCAGCCAGGACTCCAAACAGCGCCCATACGGGATGGTGGCGCCACAGACGGAGGATTAATCCATTGCGCCACAGCTCCAGCACCCATATACCCTATCTCTTAAAATAAAGATTTCCCAGTTTGTCTCTTCTCCAACCTTCCATCTCACCTCTGCTTCCTACCCTCCCAAAGAAGAGCCTGACACACGTCAATATGAAACTGAAGCTCTATTTGCCTTCCAATATTGAAATAGACAACTTCTTTGATTCTGTATCATACTCTATTAAATCCCTCTTATTTTCTGGATGAAAGACAGGGGTACTTCAAAGGTTTGTGGGAAACAGAACTAAAGCTTAAGTTTATTTGAATGCAAAAAATTGAAATTCATGCATATGAGGAATCTTCAAAAATTTTATGGAAATGCATATTGCAAAAAATTATGCATGGATTTCAAATTATTTCTGCACCAAAGTAAATTTATCTTTTAATTCCATTTTCCCACAAATGTTTTGGAACACCTGCATATGTTTTCCTGCAATTTTTTTTTCTTACTGCAATGTAAATTTATGTCTTCCACTGCATCACTTCACCTGCTGTCTTATGCCTCTGTTCACCTTATCGGCAAGACACCTGGAAGGATTTGTCTGTATTTTGACTCCACTTTCTCTCCTCATATCA